TCCCAAATGGACCTCACATAGATTGTAATAAGGAGTTTCTCTCTGTGTCTCTTCTGAAAGGCACTATCGGAAAATAAGCTTTGAAGGAGGCTGCGTGGGTTTTCCCCAGACTTCCATAGCTGCACTCTGGCAAGCAAGAAGATAGTATTCCCTTTTTTTCTAGGATTACCTATAGATGCACATGGTTTTTGAGAGTTTTCCACCAGAGAATGGACAAGGCCTGGAAAAATCAAAGGCAGGGAAGACTCAACAGAGTACTCATTTGGTGTCAGCCCTTGTGGTCTGACTCTTTGCCTCCCTTGCCTACACCTTCCTGCAGTTCTGCTCAACGTCTGTAGCCCAGCCCTTCCGAAACTGGGAGGAGATGGCTTTTATGGTGCATTGGTGCTCTGCAGTCCAGAATTGAAGTAACACTCTGAGACATGATGTTTCTTCATGCCAAACTATTCTTCTTGGTGCCAACCCAGATGAGGTCTCCCTTGAAAGCCTAAGCTGCTGGGAGGTATTATAAAAGAGAGAAAGCATACTAATGACATCACTTCCAATCAAGGTGGAAGTTATTTAGACAGTCCTTGATAATTCAAATTATATTTCATTAAATATCAGACAAACCTGCCTGCTGTGGTCATATTGTTGTATCGTGGGACCTCAGTAAACTGGTTAGTATCCTAAAGTGCTATAGGTAGTATTTACCTACGTGTGGTCCAACGTAAAGCTCCATCTATAGCTTTCCCACTGTTATCTCAGCCCCATGGCTTGTTAGGGGATGCATTTGCTATATCCATTTTTAAGATCTTCTGTTTGATCTTTCTTCCTAACCACAGAAGAGTGAGAAATACCAATGTCATGCTTAATCTTTCTATTTCTCTTGTGTTTCTTATGCTTCCCATGGAGTCATCTCTTTATAATCTGGCAAAGGGCAGTGGCATTCATGTAGGGGAAGTTAGGCTGAATTTTGGTGTCTGAAACCTGCTACCAAAGCTGTTGCTTCTGCTTCTGCCTTTACTTGACACAAATAAAACCCAACTACTTTGAGACTGACCCTGTGCACTGCAGAGGGCTATTGCCCGGTGTTAATGACCCTCTGTGCCCCTCTTCCCCTGGCAATTACCGACCTTCTCATTTTTCCCCAGAGGCAGTCTCTGATGCTAAGAAGACAGTGGTTTGTTTTAAATTTGAGATTTACTGAATTTCAGAGAACTTGCACTGCTGGAGTTTACTTTTCATGTATTGCTCTCTGTAAGGCTGGATAGATTCTGTAAGGCTGAAGTGATGGAGAGTTAAGTCTTTCTTTGGTGTATTTTGAACCCCCTCATTTCAGAGTGCTGAAGGCAATGACTAAGGTGCCTGCTACTTAAAGCCATGTTATACTGGAGAAATATATGACTCTGATGCCCTATACATGAATCTATTTGTAAAGTCTTATTCCAGTTTCTCGAGTAAAGTCCTTTCATTACGCCAGCTTCATGGTGGAAATACAGTAAATGACATTTATCTGGTATTGTGGAAAGTGAGTATGACATGAGGCAGAATAGGAATCAGAATCTCTGGATAGTCTGTCTACCTATGTGAATTGGAGAGAAATTATAGCCTGCCCGTGTCCGTGCTTTCCTATCTGTAAAGCAGGGATACGGAGATATTCCTATCTTAGGGGAGAGCTGTGAGTCCCGAGTTAATTACAAAGTCTGTGACAAATCTTAGAAATTCAATTGTGAGATAGTGTGTAAGCATATAATATTAATGCTTTATAATCTCCCTAAACTGTCTCTGTGGATATCTTTAGTGAGAGGAATATAGTGATATCAAAAGAAATCTTTTTTCACCCCAACCATTTTCTTTAGAACCCGAAGTGAAAGCTGTTTCCACCAACTGCCATCTCTGCAACCATCTGGAAAATCACATTTTCTGAAGCTTTCCTTCTCTTTATCAGCTGTAACTAAAGCTATAAAATGGGAAGATGTCCCTGGTTTAATTAACACCCCTGTAGTTCAAAAGCTGATCTTAGTAATGAGAGGCAATTATAGCCTTTATTGAGGGACAGTCAGGTGGAACAAACCCAGCATCAATCTATTGAAGACGCTTCCCTTTCCAGGTAATTTGGAAACTGCTTTTTATGATGAACAGGCTACCTGGCCCAGTGCAACAGGTGTATCTCTTTGTTCTATAACGTGAAAAGACTTCCTATTTTTGATTTATGTGCTTCTTTTGTAAACTGTTTTTCCATCACGTCCATCTGCCAACAACTAGCAATTGAGCTAAGGAAGTACCTGTTGCTTTTTGGAGGGCAATCTTGCTGGTTTTCTTGTTTTATTTTCCTGTCCACTGCTGATTTTCATTTTGAAGGTTGCCCGGTGTTCGTATTCTTGTTCTGACAAAGCTGCAGGCTCTGTGGTGTGCCCACATCCTGAGGGCTGTGCAGAGTTCTGGTCTCTGTGGTAGAGCTAGAGAAGGTCCGAAGAAGAACACTGAAATGATCAAGGGAATGTGATTTCTGCTTTATGACCTAAAAAGGCTGTGGCTCCAGTTCAGACAGGAGACAACTGAGGGCAGAGGTAAAGCTGAGTTTAGCTGAAGTCATGCAGGTGATGGATAAAGTAGATGTAGAACTTTAATACTAGACCTAATGGGCTCTAGCTGAAACAAGGAGATCTGCTTTAAATTATGAAGTACTTTTCTACACAGCAGATAGTGAACTTCGGAATCTGTTGCCACAGGAGGCTGGGGCAGTGGGCAGTGTCAACAGGTTGAAAAAAAAAATTAGACAAATTCAGACCAGCAGATCCATAACCTGAGTCTAAAGGTGATGGGCAGGGCTGAGGTAGTACAATGGGAATGGTCTGCAGAGAATGACCATGCTCTTCTTGTCTCTCTCAGCAGTATCTCAGGTCCTGTCTGGCTTCCAGCTTCTGATCTGTAAGAGCATGAGTCTGCTGTATGCCCTGTGTTTCATCTGCCAGCCCTCTATGGATATCCTGATATCTCAGGGGTCTCAAATGATGCTAGATGCCTCTTTCTGGAAAGCTGATTTAAACCCTCATTGTCTACAGTGTAGGCACCTACACTGAAGCTGGTCACTGATGGTGGAGCTCTACTCATGATTAAGATGCCTGCATTTGGCTGTTTGCATGTAGTTGTCTACCTGTGCAGCAGGTGTCTAAATTCTTCTGCAGCCAACGGACGTCTGGTCAGTCTAATGGGGACCTAATGAATACAGTCAATGGAACAGTCAGTACTGTCATTTCATCTTGCCATGAGGTAGACTTGGGATGGTCAGTTAAATAACTCGCTACTGGCTGTTTTCATTATATCTTTGTCTACTATAATCAGAGCTTGGATACCGAGCACACAGGTAGATACCAAAATTTAGGTATATTAATCTTGAACTGAGCTCTGTCCTGAGATTTCTGTTATAATGACTGTAGAGAAATAGGTGTCTCCTGAGAATAACTCATCTCATTGACCTGTTTTAGACATCTAGTTGTAGATGAGAGAAACTGCACTTGGGGAGTGCATATTTCTATTCATTGACTTTAAGGGGAGTCTAGATAGTGGTACCCATGTGGTCAATGCACACCATGGCCAGGTGACTCCCGGCCATCCCATTTGGGAAACTTTGGTCCTGTCACTTAGACTCTTAGCTGGAAGAAACGTAGATTTTTAAAGCAGTGCAATGTGAAAAAGTTAAATTATAATTTCAAAACAGACCTCCCCACACTTATGTTTTGATGTAGATTAAAGATTTACCCATGATTTTACTGTCTGTAAACTATGCTGTGAAACGTGCTACACCCTCTGTCCTGGATTAGTTTAATATCCTGACAAAATTGCTTTTGCCTGGCTAGCTGTAAAAGCTGTAAAACTCTAAAACAAGCCAGTAAGTTGTTTATTCTTCAATAATTAAAGATAGAGCAGGCATTAAAGAGCACAAGAAGGACATGGAACTGTTGGAGCAGGTCCAGAGGAGAACTACAAAAATGATCCGAGGGCTGGAGCACCTCTCCTATGAGGACAGGCTGAGACAGCTAGGGTTGTTCAGCCTGGAGAAGAGAAGGCTGCGGGGAGACCCGATTGCGGCCTTTCAGTACTTAAAGGGGGCCTATAGGAAAGATGGGGAAAATCTTTTTAGTAGGGCCAGCTGTGACAGGACAAGGGGTAATGGTTTTAAGCTAAACCAGGTTAGGTTTAGACTGAATCTAAGGAAGAAATTCTTTACAATGAGGGTGGTAAAACACTGGACCGGGTTGCCCAGAGAGGTAGTGGAGGCCCCATCCCTGGAAACATTGAAGGCCAGGTTGGACGGGGCTCTGAGCAACCTGATCTGGTTAGCAGTGTCCCTGCTCCCTGCAGGGGGGTTGGACTAGGTGGCCTCTAGGGGTCCCTTCCGACCCAAAACATTCCACGATTCTATGATTCTATGATTAAACGCCTAAAGTCCTATGGTGTTCCAGGAGTGAGCGTCTTTCATAGGGTGTCTAGGAGAAAGATTTGTTCAGTATGGAAGAGTTTGGAAAAGAATTTCTTTGGTCAGTGGGTCTGTGGATGTTGTTAATTCCATGCTGCCAGCAGGCACAGAATTTGGATGCCATCAGTGTACTCTGGTTTTGGGACAGGGCAACATCAACTCCTCTCAAAAATGCTGTGGGCAAGTCCACCTATTGCCAAAGTTTCCACTATTACATGTGGTACAGGATAGACACGAAATTTCTTTAGTGAATGAACGCGATACAGTCTGGTTTAGGAGACTGCACAGTTACTTGAAGTAGGGTGGATTGCGCATTCTTTCATCTTTCCCACTCCTGTGTGTACAACTTTGTTGTACTATATCTTATTTGCTTCAGATACAGGACGTAGGCGAGGAGATTGGAAGATAGTGTGATTCCAGTGTTCCTGTAGCTTTTGATCTTTCTGCAGCATCAGTCTCTGCGATTCATGTGTGGAAGGGGGACCTGTGGTCATCACCTGCCTTGCTGATTGTCTTGTCTTTTCATTTGCCCTCCCAGGTTACGGACATGCTGCCCCAGGGACGGATGCAGGGAAGGCCTTTTGCATGTTCTACGCGGTCCTGGGGATCCCACTGACACTCGTCATGTTCCAGAGCTTGGGCGAGCGCATGAACACCTTCGTCAAGTACCTCTTGAAACGCATCAAAAAGTGCTGTGGGATGAGGAGCACTGAGGTCTCCATGGAAAACATGGTCACTGTGGGTTTCTTCTCCTGCATGGGAACACTCTGCATTGGAGCTGCAGCCTTTTCCCAGTATGAGGAATGGAGCTTTTTCCATGCTTACTATTACTGCTTTATAACATTGACTACGATAGGGTTTGGAGACTATGTGGCCCTGCAGACCAAAGGGGCCCTTCAAAAGAAGCCTCTCTACGTGGCTTTTAGCTTTATGTACATTCTAGTGGGGTTGACAGTCATTGGGGCATTTCTAAATCTGGTTGTTCTCAGGTTCTTAACCATGAACAGCGAGGATGAGAGGCGGGATGCTGAGGAACGGGCATCCCTAGCAGGGAACCGCAACAGCATGATTATCCACATCCAAGAGGACTCCCAGCACGGTCGGCCACGGTACAAGGCCGAAGTAACAGACCTTCAGTCAGTTTGTTCCTGCATGTGTTACAGGTCCCATGAGTACACCAGCCGGGTGGTGTCCCACCAAAATTCGTTCAGCTCGAAGCTGAACCCCCAGTACTTTCACTCCATCTCTTACAAGATAGAGGAGATCTCGCCAAGCACATTAAAAAACAGCCTTTTCCCATCTCCTGTCAGCTCCATCTCACCTGGGTTGCACAGCTTTACAGATAACCACAGGCTGATGAAAAGGCGAAAGTCCATTTAAAGGGATTTGTCTTCTTTTGCTTTCCTTGTTTTCCCCAGTTCTTCTCCGTTGTTTTGGGTTTTTTGTTCCTTGAGTGAGACGGAGCGAGGCCAAAGGGAGTAGAGAAAGCCAGTCCTCCTCTGAGACTCAGCTCTTGAGCATGAAGCATGGATTATTACTGTTCCAGCAAAGTATGCCTTACATTACCCCCTCGGTGGATGTCAGAGGATTCAAGGTGACGTGAAGTGGGTACCAAATCCAAAGTTGCACACACAGCTGGGAGCCTTCATGTGCCACTGGCACTCCTGACCTAATAAACTATTTTCCTCACGAGCAGGTTGCAGCGTGCGTGCGTGCTTGCGTGGGTGCTGGGTGCGTGTGCGTGTGTCTGTGTGCGCGTGCAATTCCACAACTAGTGCCATGTGACAAAAATTAAAGCATCAGGTATGATTTTTTTTTTCCCTTGAAGCAATTGTGTTCCAGCCTGCTTTTAACTTTTAGATTGCTTCCAAAAAGAA